ACCTTTTAGCCTCAGTCACTTCATCTGTAAAATGTATAAAAGAGCACAGATCTCTTAGGGTTGTGAAGATTGGGGAGAACGTACATTAAAAAACAACATATAAATGTGAGCTGTTAGTGCAGTGGAGGTGTTATGTGTGGTGTTAGGAGTCACGGTGGTTGGAGAGAGAAAAGTTAACGAGAATCTCACTTATCCTAACAAATATTTCCTCCACTCCCTCTCCCAAATCAAAACTCCCATTCATTTTTCTAGTCTTTCCTGATTAAAGCTGTGGATACCAAGAATTGAATAATCACTGGACTTGACCCCTCCCAGGAAGTACTTGTATTCCCAAAAGGCTAATTACCTGAAAAGAATTTCTAGTGGTAAAATGCATGGGGTGTTTTTGAGCTAAGGGACTCTGGGTGCTTATTACCTAAGCAAGGCAGCCACCACCTCCCCACGAATCTAGTCCACCACAGGTTAATATATGGAATTACCAAGGTTAATGGTAATCAGCTAGTCTGTCAACCCTCCCCCAATTTAAACACACACACACACACACACACACACACACACACACACACACACACACACACACACACATATGTTTTTAAAGGGGCCAGGCTCCCAAGCTCAGCAGTAAACTGATCATTGTTAGGGAGGAGAGTGGGCTGGCTGGCACAATGAATGGTGAATGATGAATCTGAGACTACAGAAGGTCTCCTGTAGTTACTTGTAATAAGATGCCCGAAGCAGCATAATACATCCCTAAGTGCAGTTCTTGAGCAAAAATGCTATTATTCCATTCCATTAGTTATTTCATGGTATACTTATTTATCTCCATTCTTCTTCCATTTTTATTCTAGGAGGTTTCCAAGCCTTGTCTCATAGATAGGGTTTCCTGCTTTAGTGAGGGGAGATAACCACCCTGAAGCTTTACCAAATCCTTTGGGAAATCTTTAGTGCAAGGTGAGGAAAGAGACACCACAAAACAGAGACTTTTGTCAAAACAAGTTATATGAACAATATTCTCAATATCTTGAATCATACAAAACAGGATTATTACAAAAGAAACAATGATAGAATCAGAGCAAAGGTTGTGGCAAAACAAATTTTGACATCTATAAGACAAAAAGGAGAGAAATAATGGCCCCCTCCAAAACCCTAGTCTAATTCTAAAGAATGATCTAGTCATAATATTATGTATCATGATAGGGTGGCACCCCAGTATGAGCTGCTTATTAGTCATTATCAGTCTTTTTTGAAAAATACTTTCAGGAAACACACAAAGCAAACAAGACAAGAAAATGATTATTCTTTCAAACCTGAAGACCAAAGCATGCCTCAGTTCTTACAAAGGGCTTTAAGTGACAGCCATTCTGAGGATTCCCTATCCCCTACTTTCCCCCAACCCAAAAAAACTAAAATGACCTATAGATTTCCTTCAAGGATAAGAAGGTTCTTAAGAATGGGCCTTTATATGACTCTTCTCTATTAACTTTAGGATATCCCAGCAGAATTATACAAGAATGCTAGAATCCCATCTTAAAGCAGGCAGCCTTAAAAAAAAAAAAGCAATTTTCCCTCCAGTCTCATTAAATCAACTAGTAAGATTTAAAATAATGGAGTTAAGAAGTGACCCAGGTCTACCTGGAAAGCCACATCATGGTGTGTGCCACCTATTGATTTGCTCTCTATTCACAGAAAATTTTTAAAATGGGGGGTGGAGCAAGGTGGAGAGACCTGTTTCCATAAACCAACTGTGGAAGCAGGCAAAAGACAAAGTACACAAAATATAGCAGCAAATATTGAGACACTTTTAAAAGTATATCCATACCAGTACTCTGCAATACAAAATACTTTACATCCACGTAGTGGTAAAAGACAAATCATTCAAAAGGACCAAGTCTATTCATTTTCAATCATTTCCAAAAGATAATGCAACTTAGAGCCTCCATTTAAAAAAAAATCCTATATATTACTGAGTTTACATCAAATGCTCATAAACTCTATATTCTCTGCTCAATAAAAACTAAGAATTTTTCTTTTATCAACACAGCATGAAGTAGAAACACACAGCCCAAGCGGTAACTAGACCCACGTCGCTGAAGGAGTCACTGGTAACAAAGTGAGAGCCTTCATTCTAGTAACCAGCTCATGGTACTCGGGCATCTTCCACACGCCCCCAGGCGTTGTTGGGGTTTTTTTCCCCAAAAGCACAGATTCAACTGATTCAAGCAGTTAAATTGTACCAGGAAAAGATTCCTCCAAATTTGTCAGCAATTATCAACTAGTGACCTAAACACCACATAAGACTTTTTTTTTTTAATCCTCCGGGAAAGTACTTTCAAGATGGCTTAAATTTCTTGGTTCTGCTGTATAAAGCCCAGGGCTTGGAGCCATTGTCCATCCAGTAGAAATATTCAAGTCTCCATAATAAAGAGTCTTTGGGTGACAATGCAGCACAGTAACCTTTTTTTTTAGGCAAATGTTGACATTAATGCTACCAGGAGCCACCCTTCCTCCAACCAGCCAGTCTGACCTTTGTCTTGTGAAAAGTTTTGTCCAGAAGATAGGTATCTTATCAAAGAAGGATTAGCAAATAAAACTCAAGGCTTTTTCCAAGAGTCTTTTAGGGTTAAAAATTGAAGGCTGTCATTTTTAAACATTCTTACAATGTCTTCCTCCTCCTCAACAGTAAGTTATAGAATAATCAATACTAACATCACCTTTTCAATATGCTCTCCACTTAGAAGGAAGGGGTGATAAGTGTTGAGTCATTATCTTTTCTGCCTTCCACTTGGGCTTTACATAGTATAGTGAGGAATAAAAAAAAAGTTATCTCCTTTATTGGAAAGATGTATGCTGAAGGACACTTTCCCAATTCCTAATTCATTATCCAAGTGAAATGCAAGTAGGGGAATCAGAAAAAGTCATTTTCTATCTGTGGCTCAGTCGATCAATAAAGAAGGCTGCCTGCAGAACAAGCTTTTTTTCCTCTTCTTGAGCTTCTCCATGGATGTACATATAGACCAGTGTAAGACAGACTTCTTAGAGAAGAAAATGCCCCTGGCCTAGTGGGTGCAGGTTAAGCACAGTTTCTGAAGTTCAGAAAAGAGCTGCTTTTAAGCTCTCGCTATTGTTCAGAATGCCATTTTAAAAAATGGAGCTTCTAGAAAAAGAACTAGACACCTCTTATTTCTGGTTATTTAATCTCTAGTTAAAATGGAGCTGCGAACTCCTTCCATTAAGCTCATCTTCGTCATACATACATACATATGAAATGATGAGCAACGACAATATCAGAAAGTTTAATTCAGGTCAAAGGTGAGAGACCTGACACAGCTGGTCCATAATCTTTAGAGAAACGCAAAGACATTCCCAAGAAACTGTCCATCGTGAAAATGGGCTTTCATCATTAAACATCAGGAGAGGAAGTTTCTAAAGATTTGTCCACCAGGCCCATGTGGAAATAAAAATAAAAACAAACTTTTCCCCATCATCATTTTATGTTTAATTTTTTTTTTTGTAATTCACCAGGTTTGTAGAACCATCCAATGAACTTGATGCTGATAAAGCTTTGAAATAAATAAGTCTTAAAGGGGATCTGTTGTTTCCCTAAGAGAAAAAGGTACCATGTTCTGTTTCAAAAAGCATCACTAGCAAAAATCATTTGTTTCAGCCAAAGAGTCACCTAAATGCCTATAGTTTAAAACTTCTACTAAGAATTTAAAGGGTCATTCATAGTGACCAGCTTCAGATATCACTAATGATTCCAGGAATATAATTCTGACAACCAATTCATAAAGGAGAGAAAATCCAGTTTTTTGGCCATCTTGCAAATGGAATGGGGGGAGGGAGGAAAGGGAATATTTTTAAAAGCCAGTGTATCAGCACAGTTCCAGTTAAAAGGTATAGAAAGAGCAGATGGTAAATAGGAAGGTGTCATTTATAGTCACCACTCTGGCTGAGAGTACATTTTCAAGAGATATGGAGTAACCACATCCTTCTCTGCTCCTATTCCCACCCCCTTTGGCAGATGACAAAAAAGGGGGAAAAAAGAAAAAAGGTCAACATATGGAGTCGATGCACAGGGCAAAGGTCCAGGAGGCACTGTATGTTGGTTTCAATAGCTACAAAGCCTTTCTTGGTTTGATTCAAAATGCTATGGCAGTACAAAGAGGTATTCTTAGAGAGGGAATCTTCATGGCCTGCTATATTCAAAGCACCCTCTCTGCACAAGTTATTTGTGGTACCAGCAAACAGGGTATTAAAAAGGTTAATGGATGTCCCAAGGGTTCCAGAATGCTGGAAGCTTCAGGAACTGCTAAGAGACCTTCCCAGGGAGCTGTAAGAGAAATATTTATTGGTATAGACTTCCTCCAATCAACTGCAAAGTGTATAAAGAGAAATGGGTCGAGAAGGTCCAGAAAGACAAAGTAGAGCAAACAAAGAGGAGAGAAGGAGAGGAGGAGAGGAAGAGGAGAAGAAGGAGAGGAGAGGAAAAACTGTTTCAAGTCAGATTGAATTCCCTGGGTCCCAAAAGGTACCACTAACAGACTTTAGTGCAATGTTCAAGCAGAGGCAAATTCAGTCACTTCTGGGTGACTGGCAATCAACAGATGCGCATACTTCTAAAGTTATGAGCTCAGCAATCCTTGGGAATGATGCAAATCTAATTTCGAAAGAGAAATACTTATTGCCTAAACTCATTATTCCTGAAGCATAAGAGGAAACAAAAATATATCCCTCACTTCTACATAGATGTGTGCTTTATAGCAAAAGGAGATACATCAGCCCAAAGTGACAGAGATATTTCCAGTTTGATGAAAAAATGTTCTCTCTCCAGTTCTGAATTTACTTCTGATACAGTCACTGACCAAACTCTGTTTTCAGCAGTCCAAACTGCCATTCAGTTAAATTTAGGCAACTGAAAAACAGACACACAAACACATACACACACACACACACACACACACACATAGCTGTGGCAAAATTAGAAGAAAAATGGCACAAACTTTTACACAAATGAAAAGCTGCCTGGCGTTTTATTTTCCCAGCAGAGGAGGAAAAATCATAAAAATATATTTTTTCCTGAAATCCACAATTCTTTTCAAACCAGCCATGCCTAATTCTGTTGAACTCACACTCTTTAAAAAAAAAAATAATAAGCCTAACAAAAACTACTTCATTTCAGACACCAATTTGCTCCACTGGAGCATGAGGAATAGCATGATTCAGTAGGGGCTAGTGCAATTGTCGAAATCAGTAGCAAGCCATCACAATTTTCTTCACCAATAAGTCTGTCACATATAAACACACAATCCTAGCAAGGCTGGTTTAGCATAGAGCCACTAGCCACCATTGTTGAAATCTGCTTTTCCATGAAACACACTCACCAAAAGATTAAGGCAAGTGGCTGGAATTTAAAGCAGCCAAGAGGTTGGTATAACCTCAAATCTCAAGACTCAAGAGCCAAACAAGAAAAAGCATCTAATTCTAAATCGTAGAAATGAATTTTCTTCTGGCTTTTTAATACTTGGGGTCTGGATATTATTTTTTAATATTCTCATCTTGCAGAAATCTGCTTTAAAAGGAGAAAAATAAAAAAGAGTTTCTACCCTTCCCCCCTTATCAAAGAACCTCTTCAAGAAGAGAGAACTGGAGCCTGGTGGCATTTGAAAGAGACATTCAAAGGAGTGACACAGGTTAACCTAAGGTAGTGGTTTGTAAATGAAGAGCTTAATTCTGACATTTTGACACAGAAGTTCAACACAGGCCCGCCTGCTGCTGAACAGTTTATAAATAAGTTTCTGGAGTCAGAGGGAATATTTGTTTTGGTATCAATGCTTCAGAGACGATGACTTCCATCCTCCCTTTCACACTTCAGGGTCCAGCAGGGCTTTCAATAGCTGACTGATTTTCCATGGTGTGCCTCAACTCCAGAAAAGTAGTTTTTACCTAGTAGGAAAAAACAAGGAAAGAATGAGAATTAGAACCTTCCAGTAATATTTTCATTAATTCCATTCATGTATTCATTTAAGGGAGATCAAAGAAGGAAGTAAATCTAAATGCTTCTGCTTCTGGTATTCATTCTTTGGTGCTTGTTTCTTTGCAGGTTACCTCTGTCATGATATGATGATGCTGGCAGTTACAAATTGTGGAAAGAAACACCAAAAAATACAATGGAAATGAGAACTCCATTGATCCTACTAATAGCTGTTCCCCTCAATCTGGTCAAGTTTAGTTTTATGATGAGACACTGGGAGATATCCTTCAGTCAGCAACTGTGTTTCCCACTCACAATCCCAAAACAAAGGCAAAAGGCAAAGAAGTTCATGTACAGGAAATATCAGTCATATTGAAAATGTTTAAACATCATCTATTTTAATCACCTATCTATCCTTAGGGTCTCTCCCCTGAACACAGACCCTGCACTGCCAATTATTTATTTAACATTTCAACATTCAAACTATTTTAATGACATATCTGTCTTTAGGGTCTCTGCCCCCAACATAAATCTTGCACTACCAATAATTTATTTGACATTTTAAAGTAGGTGTCTTAAACTCAACAAGTTGAAACTGAACTCGTCACCTTTCCCCCTAAACCTTCCCCTCTCCTAAACGTCCCTACTGCTGTGGAAGGCACCATCATCCTTGAAGGATCTGAGATTCATAATCTCAGCTTTATCCTCTACTCCTCACTCTTCTTTGCCCCACCAGAGCCCCTCAGTTGCCAAATCATGCCATTTCGACCTTCCCCATGACTCTTACATCCTACCCCATCTCACCTCATGCTGCTACCCACTATCAGGTACTCATCACCTCTGGCCTAGATTACTGCAACAGCCTCCAAAGTAGTCTTCCTGCTTCAAGTCTCCTATCACTCCAATCTATCTTACACACAAAGTAATTTTCTTTAAATATAGATCTGACCATGTGACTTCTCTACTCAATCAATCCAGTGACTTTCTAATGCCACTAGGATAAAATGGAAACTCTTCTGTTTAGATTTGAAATACCTACACAACCTGGCCCCAACCTAACTTTCCATCATCACTGGACATTTACTCCCCTTTCTGAACTCTACTATAAAACCAAACTGTTGCTCTCTCCATACTCACTCAAGACACCCCATCTCCTATTCTTGTGCCTTTTCAGTGGTCTCCTCACTCTTGAAATGTATTCCCTGCTTACCTCCACCTCAGAGTCCCTTTCTTCCTTTAAACTGAAGTCCATAAATTATATGAAGCCTTTCCTGATCCCTCAACTTTGAGTGACCTCTCTCCCAAACTACCTTGTATTTAACTACTATACATATATTTGTATTTATTAACTTTATATTTATGCTATATAATTTTTATATGTAATTGCTATCTTCCCCACTGGAATATAAGGTTCTTGCAAGCAGGAATTGTTTCACTTTTTGTATCTATATCCCTAGCACCTAACCCAGCGCGTGACATAGGAAACACTTAAAAATACTTGTTGACTGATTAATTAGAAACATAGGATTCTTCTCCCAAATACTGAGTCAAGAAATTTATAGTTGGCATGAATCTAGTATGTTAAGCTATATTTAAACATACATATTCATATGAATGCCCACAATAGAATGGTGCCTAGTGAATCTGAAAAGGACTGGTAACAATCCAAAGTAGTTGTGCAAATGACTCTAACAACGAAAATGGAAAAAGCATCAAGTGGAAACTGAATGCAATGTAATTATCCTCATCAAGCTTGGCCTCAACAGTGGAGAAGAATGCACCTCCCTCCCTTCTTTGCAAAGGCTGGGTGGAGTGGAGGGGGACTACAACCATGGGGATGGAATATTCCACACGCTGTCAGCCTCAATTAATGCACCGGGTGGTTTTTCCGAATTGCTTGATCCTCTTTTTTTATCTTCGCAACAAAGAATGGCTTGATGGGGAGGACAGGAGGACAGATATATTTGGAAATAAAGGTGATGTAAAAACAAATGATATCAATAAAAAAAAAGTTAAGAAAAAAAAGAAATAGTTGTACAAATAAAATGCTTAACTACTGATGCATTAGAAAATCCGCCAGTAGGTATTCAAATTTACTGCTTCCCAGATCTAAAACTGCTTCATGTGGAGGCTTCCACAGTGCTCACTCTTGGTGCTCAAGCTGTTCTGAACCTCTCTGTGTGCGCGCGCTCGCTCGCGCTCTCTCTCTCCTTCTCAACTCCCCACACACTCTTTCCCCATCCCATAATACTCTTCCCCCCTCACATTCTCCCCCAACTGTCCCCTACTCACATACACACAAATGCACACATATGCATGCACACATACACACAGCCTCTCCACCTCACACAAACTCTCTTCGATGTTGAATTGAATTAAAGCATCTACGTGCAAGCCACTGTGCTAGGTGATGGGTACACAAGGATTTAAAAAGAATATGCCCCATCCTCAGAATTCAACTTCTAGTATGGCGAATATAACACATATATGCATATATACACATATACAAGCATATTTTATATATGTGTACATATATGAATATATGTTTTATGTGTGTACATATATAAACATAATATAAAAGCATAGCTCATATATATTACGTGTATATATTATTATGTGTGTATACATGTATGTAATATATAAATTTATAAGTATAAACAAATACAAATAAATGTCTGAATGAATATCAATAGAATTAAATATGTAAATAAATATAAATATATACATACATAAACTCATACACATACATGATAGGGCATGATGGGGCAAAGGAGAGATGCAAACAAAGTGCTTTAGAAAAATTTTAAGAGGAAGAGAATGTTTTCTTCTTGGGCAAAGAGGGACAGAAGAGAGAGATTAGGGTGGAGACATCTACTAAACTGAGCCTAGAAACAAAAGAAGGCAACTGAGGAAGAAGTGTCTTCTGGACACAAGGAATAGTCTGCGTAAATACAGGGAGGAAAAAGATGGCACGTCAAGGTCAGGGAGCAGCTGGTAATCTAGTCTGGCTAGATATAGAACAGAAATAGAAGGAATGTAAAAAATAAGGCTGAAAAGGAAGGTTGGAGTTAGATTGTGAATAAGCCTTAAATGCCTAACTAAGAAGTTTGTATTTTATCCTACAGGCAACAGGGAGCCACTGAAAGTTTTTGTGCAAGGAAATGACATGGTTAGACCTGCATATGAAGATTATTTGGGCAGCTGCTTGAAAGATGGGCAGCTAGGGTGGTGCGGTGGATAGAATGCCAGGCCTGGAATCAAGAAGACCCATCTTCCTGAGTTCATACCTGGCCTCAGACACTTACTAGCTGTGTGACCCTGGGCAAGTCACTTAACTCTATTTGCCTCAGTTTCCTAGAGAAGGAAATAGCAAACAACTTCAGTATCTTTGCCAAGAAAACCCCAAGTGAGATTACAAAGAGTTGGACATGACTGAAGACAATTGAACAACTACAACAACAACATGAAGAATAGAACGGAGAAAGCAGAGATAAGAAAAAGACAGGGCCACTAGTTACAAGGCTGTTATGGAAAAGAATCAATGAGGCCCTGAACAGGGTCGGGGCTGTGTGAGCGGACAGAAGAGGAAGTATGTGAGAGGAAAACTAAAATTGCCTGAATTTGACTTGATTATGAGGTTCAAGGGAGAGGAACCAACTGAAGAAGGTTTCAAGCTGAGGTGATTGGGAGAACTGAGTCTCATCAACTGAAAAGTGAGGTTTCAAGGGAGGGAAGGATGGGGTTAGGAGGAAAGAAATAATGCGTTCAGCTGCAGACAAAGCGACTTGGAGGTGCTAGTAGGACATCCAAAGCAGTGCATTTCAGGGGAAAGTCACATAGATAGTTCAGAGAGATAGATCTACATGGATATAAACACTTTAGGCCTGGACTTATGGATCTATAAAGATGTGAAAACTGAACCATGAGTGTATATAAGGTTGCCAAGGGTAAGAATGTAGAGAAAGAAGAGAACAACAGAAACTGAGGGAAACCCGCGTTTAGTGGGAAAGGAACAGACCAAGAAGGAGTGGTCAGACAAGAAGGAGAACCACAAGAGAGCAGCATTACAGAAGCCAATGAGGAGAAAGCATGCAAGAGAAGAGGCTGGACAACCACATAGAATGTTGGAGAAAAACATAAGGATGGAGGAGAAATATGAGGATTGAGAAAAGGTCATTAGATTTAGCAAGTAAGAGGCCACTGGTGACCTTTTAAAAATCATTCCAACAAAATGATGCAATCAGAAGGCAGACTGCAAAGACCTTCTGGGAAGTGAACAGAGAATAAGAAAGTAGAGGCAGCAAGTATAGATTGTTCTTTCTAGGAGTGAAGAATGAAAATGAGAAGAGAGATAGAGCTTGAGGGTATGACAGTCAAGGGAAGGTTTTTTGTTTTTAAGGACAGGGGAGATTAGACATGTTTGTGGACAGCAGGGAAAACTATAGCGGGCAGAGGCATATGATATGAGGGGAGTTCGTGAAACAGAGCTATCATCTCAGTAAAGTAACAGGTGAAGTCAAATGCTGAGAGAATAAAAGGATAGGGTAGGAGTGAAGTTGGGTGCATAAGGTTTATCAGCCTTAGTGAAGAATGTGGTAGTGAGTCAAGCAGAAATGACTAAGATCGGTGTACAGAGGTGAAGGCACAGTTGAGGTTAAATAATATAAACAGATAGAGGACCCAGGTTCAAAGGTTTCCTGACTCCTCCAGAAGTGCTCAACAGCTTGGGAGAAGGAAGAATAAAAGCAGATAGTAGGGGAGACCCATTGTTGAAAACTGAAGGAATATGGCGATAACAATCACAGCAGTGCAGTAAAAAGAATACTGAACATAGGAGTCACAAGACCTGAATTCAAGTGACTTTGGGCATATCATCCTCTCTGGGCCTCAGTTTCCTTATCTGTGAAATGAGGGAGTTGGACTAGATGATTTCTAAGACTCCTTCCACCTTTAGATCTTAAGACTACACATG